CCTTCTTTCATCGACGTAATATTGTAAAAATCAGGAACATCCTGTCTCAGAGTGATGCTGAGAAACTAGTCCATCATTTGTAACTTTTGATGGGACTATTGGAATTCCTTCTTATCAGGATGTCCCAATAACTCTCTCAGAAACCTCACGCTGATCCAAAATGCTGCAGCCAGGGTTCTGACAGGAAACAGTAACAGGGATCATATTTCTCCTGTATCAGTTTGTCTTCATCGGCTCCCTGTCAAATCCAGGATAGAATTTAAAATCCTGCTTCTAACATATAAAACTCTCAATGAGCAGCTCCATCTGACCTTAAAGACCTTATGGTACCGTATCATCCTAACAGAGCCCTTGGCTCTCAGACTGCAGGTCTGCTGGTGGTTCCAGAGTCTCCAGAAGCAGAATGGGAGGCAGAGCCTTCAGTTATCAGCTCCTCTGTTATGGAATCAGCCTCCAGTTTGGGTTCTGGAGGCAGACACCCTCTCTACTTTAAGGCTAGGATTAAAATGGTCCTGATAGTTAGAGCTGCTCAGGATCACCTGAACTGTCCCTTAGTTATGCTGCTATAGCTTTAGACTGCCGGCAGATTCCCATGATGCACTGGGCTTCTCTCCTCTCCTCTCCTCCATACAGTTATATCCACCCTTACAACTCACTAGCTCTGTGTTTGTTCTCTCTGCGGACATCTCTGGATCCAGAGCTTCACGACTCTGACCTCCAGCCGCCAGCTTCACCGACCCCCAGAATACTTAAAATCATATTTATTGTTCTGTTCTATTGCTGCTCTCCATCTGCTATCCTGCTATCACCCCCTCATCCCGACTCTCACCCAACCGGTCCAGGCAGACGGCCTCCTTCCCTGAGCCTGGTTCTGTTGGAGGTTTTGGTTCCTTCCCACCGTTGCCAACCGCTTGCTCAGAGGAAGTCCAAAGGCTACTCTGGATTGTTGGGTTCCCTGTTTAAACCTGTAAGGACTGTCCTCGACTATGTTAAGGTTGTGAGATGACGTGTTGTGAACTGCGCTACACAACTAAAACTGAACTGAACTGACAGTCCTGATAGGGTTAATGACCTTGATTTATGATTTGTAATAAAACTACCCCTTCCATGGTCAAAAATAAACTTTCACACTCGACTGCCTCCACTGATGCACAAAATGAGATGACTCATGGTCTCTAAATTTGGAAACCTTTTCGTTCTGCTCACCAAGCACATCGGCCACGACAATGCTACAATCACTTCCTTCTCCAGCGCTCATGTCGTGTGTTTCCCTACTCCAGCCATGCACACGACTAGTTCCAACGAATTAAACAAAAAAAAAATGAGTGTAGCTGTCGCCCAGGCAGGCACCGACATCCTTACATGTCTCGTGTTCCATGCAATCATTTATGTTCGTGATCTGACTCGTTATCTGGCCTCATTCATCTCCGTCTCGCTACTCCTGCTCTCTCCTGCACCACCGGCCTCCCCGGCATTAACGTTAGGTGCGGTTTCAGGAAATGTTCCTGCGTGCGTTCACTTTCACTTAAGTGGAGCTCGACAGATTTTACACATCAAAGTGTTTGTGCGGGTCTCGGGCAGCGTTGCTACACATGTGAAAGAAGAAGGAAAAAAAAATGTGTATCAAGCCGTTTCCTGTGGGAGCACTCGAAAATGAAAAAAATCTGGAGGTGGGGATTTGGCCAAATTCTGCAGCCTGCTCCTCATTTGTGCTCCAGGCTACAACATGCATAGCTGCTACTTGCATAACAGCTGAATCGTTCGCCGGACTGTCAACAGTTGAGTTTCATTATGTACATGAAAAAAAAAAAAAACACGTTCAATGACCTGCAGATCTGACTTTGGCTGCCATCCAGAATGCAGCTCTGTCAGAGAGAACGTGATGTTGAGGCGCCTCGTTCCCACCCGGTGATTGATGCACGTTGTCCTTCCCCATCATCAGACCACCTACTCAGCGAGGGCGGCACACTCTCACCTACTGCGGCGGTTTATTAAGCTGTCAAACTAACTTCCCATTCTCTGCAGCCGCTTACGAACCGCACACGTCATGTCCATCCGCTGCAGCTGGATCCGAATATAAGCCCCGTTTCTTAAAGCGTGCCTCAAATGTCCAACGCATGTGCTCACCGGCTCAACTGATGCACGGCAGAACAACATGAAGTCGACACACAGTTCAAGCTGAAGCGGTGAATTCATCTCAATGCATGTGTTTGCTGCTGACACTAACCGTCCTCCCTACACTTCAGTTAGGTTCGATTCCATGTTTCTTCCCGTTAGAAAGGGAGGTTTCCCTCGCTATCATCGCCTCTGCGCTCGCTGTCGAGGGCCACGTGCTCTCGGCTCTGAAACACGTCTTGAGACAATCTCAATTCTTATTTGGCACCATATAAATTAAATGAAAGCGTAGGAAAAGTGAGGGAAAAAAAACATTGATCTGTTGAAAGACTGGGAGGAGAATTAGATGAATAAGCTGTGAAAGATGAAATGAAGAGAACACGGATTGTTCAGGTGCACCTTATCTTTTAGGAGGATTTTTTATTCTAACCAGAAACACACGGAGAAACAGTTTTGCATGGATACCAGCAGCAAGCGAATCATACATCTTTTTGTTGGTGCGGTGGTCCTTTGCTGCAGATGTTCATCATGTTCAGCATTTTATGAAACACCAATTTCCCTGTTTTGTACTTTTTAAGGAACATGTGTTGTTTTTAGCTCAGGATTTAGTTTGAAAGTTAAGACATCAGCGGCAAAGATTTTCAACATCCTTAACTGTGTTCTTGACAAAGCTGAGACTATTGCCCTCAAGTAACACCCACAGGAAGAGAAACGTTCAACACGGACAAGAAATCAGGAAGAAAGAGGCACATTCATGAGGAAATCCCTTCATCACCTGATGAATTTATTCAGTTGTCAACCACAGGAAATGTGTCAGAGTTTTAGGAGGGAAAGTGGAGTGAGACAATCGGCATGTTGAAACCAGTGGCCACCGTGCAGCATCTGTGAGGTTTACCACATGTGGTTTAGTAAAAATCACATGAACCCAAGTCACTGGTTTACACATCCTGGACGACATAGTTCCACATGTGACTGCTCTGAAGTCTGGAAAGGTCGAACAACTGCATGTGAAGGGAAACTGGGTTAAATGAGGTTACACGCCTCTGAAGAGAAACGTAAACTAATACTGTTTGTGAAGTGGGACACAGGACACGCCGACAAGAAGAGCTAGCGAAGGCGAGTTATGAAGATTGGAATAGCAAAGTGCCAAACTGCACAGAGCAGTTTTGCTCTGTCCTAACCCACCTGGATGCCACATTATTTACAAGAAAACTCACAATGATAGAAACATCAAGCTTTCTTTGAGTCACCAGCCATTTCAACTCATTCAACCATCATTCACTTCTGAGCTATTGTGACTAAATTGAAACGTTTCATGGCTCCATCAGAAACATTTGCTGTACATTCAGTTGATCTGATGTGATGCACACGCAAGATCTGCTCAGCACACGTGGATTTCTGGTGTAAAATGTTGTTTTTCTGTGCTTAACCATCTGTATGGGAAGATCTCAAGCTCAAATCCAAGCAGAATACTGACCATGCTGACTTATTATGGGCAACAGGCGGTACCGATGTGAGCAGCGCTGGTGCAGTGATTGCAGAAGGACGCCCCCTGCTGAAAGTGCAGCCCTTCACTAACATTTCTGTGGATTTAGGAACAGTCTTTGGCTCATATTTGGTGATGGACAGAACATTCACAGCCTAAAGTACATAAATGTAATGCTGTTTTATATTCAGATTATACATCAAGGTGGTAAATTTAGCTCTAATTAAGCATTTAGTTAAAAGATGATTTCAGTTGTCACACTGGAAAAGGGTTTTTGTGGAGACTGTAGTCTTAATGGTAAACCGCATTTCTTTGCTGCTCCTGATGCACTTTCTCCCTGTGGTACACTTCGTTAGTTTGGCAAAAACTGTTTTCTATAATAAACAACTTGGATTTTCAAACCCCACTCCTCTCCAAAACTGAGAAATCAGTTTGGCTGTTCAAGGTTTTAAGTGCATATGAATATAAATCATCAGCAGAGTCACACAGCGCCGCAGTGTCTCTGGATCTACCTCATCCCCCGTGACTCACCAGAGAAACCAAATATCGGCTATACTTTTTTTAAATGATTATTTTTATTTATCAGAACTTTCGTCAATGCGGGTAATCAGCACAGTTTTCACACAGCCGTGACACCGCAACACGATGCCGCAAATAAGTACACACGCACCATTGCCTGTTCAGAGGAGAAGTTCTGGAGCTGGGTGGCAGTGCGCGCTGTCCTTTCAGCACCAAGGGTTTACTTTACGCACGGTCACAAGAGTTACTTTCCGCAGGCAAGCAGTAAAAAAGAACACGCTGTTTTCACAAACAGCACCGCAATAATCAGATTACAGCAAAAAGAGCAAAAATATGCAAGAATATCTGGGTTAGTTTCATGAATACTCCAAAGTGTAAAGTCATACTTGTGTGAATATTGGTTTTTACGCAGATTTTTGGAGTTGTGCGACTTTTTTTCCCTACTTCTTTTGTTTCTTTTAAAGAATTTTATGGATCTGAAATACAAATGTGCTTCCCCTTATCTTGCCATCATAATAATAATAAACGAGCTCACTGGTCAGAGAGATTTGAGGGGGAGCATACGAGCCACTTACACGCCCTGACTCAAAGAAAGCTGCTCCAACCACAGTGGGCCAGTTCACACTAATCTCCACTGAGGGAAGAAAAAAAAAAGTCTTCTGTGCGTCTCAGTTGTTTAGTCGGCTGCTCTGACCAGAAACTTCAGGAACTTTTATAACTCGGTCTTAATTAATTTTCAGAGACGGGTGCGTAATCGTGTTCCAGTTTCCATGATGGATATAAAGCGGCCGACGGCTCTAAATGGGGTTATGAGAACCACAAGGAGGATATGGGAGCATTTGCACTAAGATGCCGGTATCTGCGCTGCACACTGAGCTGATTGGGAATTTCAGTGGAAGCAGGCTATTAGTTGGAAAAACGCTTCCTGTAACATCGCAGCATCGCACAGATAAATGGAGTAACGGAGAGGAGGGGGGGTTGTGCAGAAAAACTTGACTTCCAGTGATGGTCAGTCAACTCATGTGGACTTTCCGCTTCTCGGGTACCAATAATGCGTCTTATTATTACCATCACAGACGCTGCTGCTGTTGCTGCTGCCGTGTAGCCCACAAGGGACAGGTCACCACGTCGGCGAGACAGAATAAAAAGTGAGCTTGAGCTCAGGGCGACTGAGCTGCAGCGGCTACTCCGGCTGAGGACGCAACACGGGACTCGGATCCTCTCTACGCGGCTGTGCTCTCTCTACTTGGAGCTGAGGACGAACCACGGATGCTCTGCGAACATTCATATGACTTCAGAAGACATAAGAGCAGACTTTAAGGGGACATATTCCGGACCGGAGGCAATCAGGATCACACACCAAAAAGTTGCGCACACTTTACATTTGCTTTATTGCTGGACGCACGGGACGTAACAGCACGTGGTGGCTTTTTGGTGAAGCTTTTGTAAAGGTAATGATATTTTTAATACAGGGTACCACTGTTAATCTGTGGCATCTTCACACTTTTACCACACAAAACTAGTTTGCTTCTCACATGTGTCTGCTGTTCTGGTTCTGAGGCAGTGATTCGGTGTAAACTGTCCTCAGCTGCTCCAGGAAAAGATCTGAATGAAATCAAACTCCACTAATTACAGAGCAGAGCTTACAGTTGGACACACAAGCCACTGATCAGACCAAAACAAAAGCACCGAGTGGAAAAACAAATCAGAGTTTCCATTGTTCAATTAGAATAATTACGCACGAATGTCAACCATGTTTGCAGACTGTTATTATGGGATGTGCGGCAAAATGTTGTAGAATGTCTTCAAAGCTGTTGCGCAAATTCCATCAGATGTGAGTCCATTTGTTGCACTTGTCAGATTGTGGTTTGGATCCACAGTCAAAAAAAAAAAAAAAGTCTGAAGTCAGTGTTTATTGTGTGGGTCTAACGGCACCGGGCGGCCGGTTCTGGGTCATCTGACGGTACCGAGGAGCCGATGTGCGCTCTGACATTCCTGCTCTGTCTCTCCTGCAGGTGTCCGGTGGAAGGAGTTCACTTCTTGGTATTTTTTTCTCACGCTATGAGCGGACTGCGCAGGCACTTCATCATGGGACTGGTGCTACTGATGTGCACGCTGACCGACCACTGCGGCGAGAGCGCGCCCTCGTCGGCCCCGACGGCGGTGGGCGGCGGGGACGCGCATCGGGACTTCAGGCGGATGGTGGAGATCATGAAGCACGTGGAGCAGAGCAGGGGGAGCCACGGAGCGACAACACAAGCCCCGGTAACGTCACGGGCGAGGAGCTCTCCGGATTTTCGCTACTCGAGGACAGACCGGGGGAATCCGGCTGTGGGTGAGTGGCGGCTTTTCCTCGGGGCGGGAGCCTTGTGTTGGACCTCAGGAGTGATGCTGCAAAGTGAAAGGATGCAGCCTATTGGGATTCATTTCAAAATTTAAAGTAAAAAGTCACTCCAGACTGATGGCGGCTGCAGGTGGGAGAAGTTAAAGAGTTGTTGCATCCAAATTACGCACAACTTCTTCTTCTTTAGCTGCAGCAGAATCTGGCAAATGTTATATTGGGGGCAGAAAATCGAACACCAGCAGTTTAATTTTTGTGTTTTTGTGGCTGTCACTCACTGAGGCATCACAGTTGATCCTGTTTTATTACAAAATCAACCAGCTGTAGGTGGTAGTAAAGTTCAGATGTGAGGCCTTGTACTGAAAAAGCAACATGTGCTCAAAACTTCCTCTTGTCTCTTTGAACAGTCGTATTTCCCAGAGATCTACGAAAGAAGGAGAGATTCCTACAACTTCTAACAGGTAAGGCATCGTTTCACATCACTTCTGTGTCTTGCACCGAGTCAGAGGCAGTTTGTAAGGAGTGCAAACTGTGAAGTGGGAAAGGATTGAGTCCAATAAAACAGAAATAAGTTACAGCTTCAGATAATGGCTGTAAAACAGATGTAAGCGCAGGTGGCTGCAGAGCTGGAAGTGTTTTCAAAGTCTGCTGTCTGTTCTCTCTCTCTCTCAGGTCCGCTCTACTTCAGCCCCAAGTGCAGGAAGAATGTGTACCGAGTTTACCACCACACTAGAGACTGCACCATACCTGCATGTAAGAGGCACTCAGGGAGCAAACGACTTCATCAGTCCAATGTCAACACTCCGCTTGAAAAAAAGCAACCGCTCACTGTCTTTCCATTTCATCCTCTCTTCTCAGACTTAAAAAGATGTGCGCGACTTCTGACACGGCTAGCTGGCAGCCCGCAGTGCACAGAGGGGTAGCACGCACAAGGTAAGAGGAGGCTTTCAACTTCAATTGGTACACCACGGTTTTAGGGAGAAAGATGTGCACAGGGCAGACTGTCGGAGTAACTAACCCCAACCCAAACCCTAATCCTAACCCCACTGTCAGCATCTAACCCTAATCCTAATCCTGACCCTAACCCGAGGCAGACTGTCAGTGTCTAACCCTAACCCTAACCCTGCTGTCAGTGCCTAGCCATAACCCTAACTCTAACCCTAATCCTAATCCTAATCCCAGCCCTAACCCAAGGCAGACTGTCAGGGTATCTAGCCCTAACTGCTTTGCCCTCGGGCACGGCAGGGGAAGTTATCGAGACAGATTTGAAAAACCTAATCCTAACCCTTGAACACTGAGAACAGTCGATGCTCCACAGCACAGTTATTTATGTGACAAGGAGGAAGCAGCTGAAACTGCCCCCTGCTGTATGTTTTAGTGCTGGATTATGATTCCTGGTGCATTCATGTGTCAGTAGCTTCATGCTCTTAAAACTCCTTTATATACACATATGTGTAGTTATATGTGGAGCTTACTGCAAAATAGCATAAAATAATTGGCTCATAAAACATTTTCCATGATTGAAACACAGTTTCTATCCCTACTTTGACATGCAATAATATATACTTTTTCTTTTATAAAACAGTGAAATATTCAAATATAAGATGTCTGTCTTAGTGCTGCAGAACATTAGGACATTAGCTGGGTTTTATTGGATTATTTTATGTAAAAAAATATTTTTACAGGCAACTTTGCATAAAAATTCTAAACACATGACAAGTCTTTGATGTTAAACTATGTCTACATTAAATCAAGTGGCTTTGGCTCGAGTCCCGATCATGAACAAATTCCTTTTAATTACATTCTATTGTTAGATTTAAATCATACAGAATGAACAGGATGAGTTTTTACATGTAACTTAAACCGACTTGTAAATATAATCAATCTTCCGCCTACAAAATAAATCAATTTACCTTTAAAACAAATGTCAACCGTTATTTACAAATACTTATGATTATAATTACAAGCTTTAGATCATGTAAAGTATAATGAGTTTGTAGATGTATCTTTACATTTTTAATAGATTTTGATCAGAAAAAAATATGCAAACCTTCAGAATAAATGGATTTAGTTTTTACAGCCATTATTTACAAATGCTTCAGATTATAAATTCATTTTAGATACCAGCAGGTATAATACCGGTTTTTAGTTGTAACTTTAAAGACTTGTATATATAACGGATCTAAATTTCTCTGGGTATTTTACACAAGATCTAAACTGAATGTCTTTTTTGTCATTTTAATCGTTATTATCTTGTTTCACAAAAATACAGAAAAAAAGATGTAAAAAAAGGAAAAATTCCCCCAAAATTACCTACTTTATTTACTTATTTATTTATTTTTTACAGTGTAATATAAAGTAAATACGCCAGTAAGATAGTCCAGTTCCTACTGAAGTACATTACTTGAATGTAAGTTTTATTGATCTGCTTTATATACTTATGTGTAATTCCACATCAGAGCAAACTGTTTTTGCAGTTTGTACTTTTATATTTCACTTTAGCTCACAGGGATTTTACTACTTTACTGAACACAATCCCTCCATAAAATGTGTAAAATATTGTGCTAAAGATTGAGGTTGGAGTTCAAATCACCTTCAGCTGCTGCAGCATTAAGATACGACTTAAGCATAACACATAATGATTGATTACTTTTTTTCTTGAAATAGTATTTGTGATAATACCGCTATACTCTGATTTGAGTAAAAGTCTCCTTCTAGAACTTTGGGACACCTTAAGTAAAAGCTTTAAACCCTATTTCCCACCACTGCATCAGACAAACACAGAGACTGAGTGATCATTGAAGATGCAGGAGCCCGCGCCAGTGCGGGTTAGAGTTCACACTGGACAGATCAGGTTTCTTTGGAGACCCCCAGACATTTGTTCTGAGTGGTGATGTGCCTGCTGCGTCTGAACACACAGACTCTAGCAGTGGCACAGCGAGAGCAGCACATCTTTGGCAAATCTTGATTTATTATTTGTGATTCTTGCTGGATAGGAAAGAATTTTTCAAGTGCTGCCAAGTTGGAGCCAGAGCTGAATATCGCTTCCTCTCCCTTGCAGGTTGAAGCCAAACATGAGTACTCCAGAAGAAAAAAATCTTGGGAAAAAAGTGCCTTGGACAGTAAGAGGGAAGCCTGAATCTGACCAGCCCCGACTGATATTAGGTACAACATTGTCCTTCACTGAGGTCTCTTCTGCTACGGCGTGGATCGCTGCCACCCACCTCTGTCTGGGCCTCGATGGTTCGCTGTCATCACAAAGGAAGCACAACCGGGCGACACAACCAGACAGGATAGAGACGGTGAAACCCAAGAGCGGAGCTGGAAAAGAAACAAACGGCTGAAAGAAGAAAAAAAAAACCACGCGGGGCCTTTTTGTTGTTGTTGTTCTCGTTCCTGCTGGAAAAAAAAAAAAAAAAGATGTCACTAAAACAACAAAAAAAAAAGAGGAGGGAGGGTTCTGATATTTATTTTGCTTATTTCTGTCAGAAAAGAGCAAAATCCAGATATTTAGAACGACTCGCCTCCTGCGGTCGGTTTGCTGTGTGTAAGTGTTTCGGGTTGAGCCCATCCCTTCGATTACGCAGACCAAAAAAAACACAAGACAAAAGCTCTGAGAGAAGCCCAGCCGGCAGTCGCTGCACAGTTTCACCCACTTGTGCTCACACTGAGAAAGAACTGTGGTTAAATTATTAATTACATGAACGTTTTTTCTGCATCTTTGTGATAAAAAGAAAAAGAATGAAAAAAAAAAAGAAGAAGAAGAAGTGGCGGTTGTAAATCACAGCCCTCCTGAGGATCTGAGCAGAGCGTGGTACAGCCTATATTTATGTATCTGAGATGTCACAAGGTTCCACTGTACATAATGTAGGCCATGACCCTTTAAACCAGGAGTAACGTGTACATAGTGTAAAGCAGCAGAATCCACCTATCTACCATAAATGAACATGACTGGCATTTACCAAATGAGTGTTAAATATATATGTATATCTATATATATATATATTTAAAAATGAAATATATTTAAATAAATTATGAGATTGGTACAAATGTGTTTGTTGTGAAATATTTGACATCGTGTTCCGTCCTGAGACGAGGAATGCTGCCTCAGTGACCACATGACTGGACTGGAGGCTGCACATCGGCTGAATTTCAGACTTAAGAAGAGGAAAAAGAAAACAAAAAGTCAGAGATGATGAGGTGTTTTGTGAAATAGACAAAATTAAGCAATCATTTTCCAGATCACGTCAGCATGTTTCAGTTGGTTCGCACTGAGGAAACAAGTTCTGACCTAATTCACCCACAAAACAACACATTTTCTCACATGTTTTGGTTGTACTTGTCGAGGTTTGCTGCTACTTTTTTGCAAAAACCCATGCATTTAAAAACACACTACCGACCCCGTCAGTCACAGTGCACAAGAAGGTCGCCACCAAACAAAAGTCCATTTACATCCACCGCATTTGTGTTTGTTTAGCAGAAGAATATATGAAAAAAAAAAAAAAAGGAATCTGGGTAAACAAAACAATCTGCTGTAACTTTTCCTGACCCTGTGAACAAGCACGTCACACAAATCCCTCCACGCCTTGTGTATGAAACCCAACCCCTGGATGGAGGCAGCTGCTGCAGGACGAGTATTTCTCTAGGAAGCGTATTTGCTTGGAGTATTAATTTGTTTGGGTTGAACAAGAAAACATCCGCGCTGCTCGGTGAGACGTGCCGGTGAGAGCGAGCCAGCGCGCAGAAACATGAAACGGAAGAACCTAAATGGAATTAAGTCATCATTTGCTCTGTATGATGGGCTGCATTTCCGTGCCATAAGACGAATTAGACCGAATGTCCGAATGACAAGAAACTGTCACAAGCCTCCAAATGATCCGCTCGGGCAATCTACAAACTGAAATCCTCCCTTAGCCTGAGTGAAATCTAAACTTGTAGGGGAGTTGATTTGTTGTGTTCCTACAGAGTTGTGTTTTATGGGAACAAACAGCAGTACCTTCATCCAGGAGCTGCGTCCACGACACTGTGGATGATCCGCGCTGCCATCGGTTCTCTCTTTCTAGATCTGTTGAAAACATAAAGGACTGAACAGAGAAACGTTGGAGACACTGGGGCTGAGACACAAACTGTGTTTTGTAATCTGACTCCTCACTTCTCATTTGATTTCCTTCATGTGAAGACAGGAAATAAGCAGATAGAGAAGAGGTGAAATGCAAAACCAGCAGAAGGCAGCAGGAGGAGGATACTGTTAACCGCGTTACGTCGTCTCGTTAACAAACGTTAGCTGTGAGTGCCACAAATGAAATTCCATTTATTTTTGTTGTAACAGGGAGGCAGAATCCCACTGTGGCATTAACACACTGGAAAAAACAACAGATTGGATTGAGCCTCTTCAATGCCTGCTGAACTCAGACCGTTGGCTTTGGCAGCAGCTCTCACAATGGTGTTAAAGCAGCATTAACTAGTCTCAGCTAGGCCTACTTTGGGTCAATACAAGGTTCTTGTTTGGCATCATTTTGTCTGGATTGAATAACAAGAGAAATACCTGCACTGCTCGCAGCAACTTTGAACAGTTTGAGCATCTGGATACCAAAGCCGAAGTCTTCAGTCGTTGAACCCGGTTAGATCACGAGAACAACTGGTGCTGCACAGATAACCTGCTCAGGAGGAGGTTAGGGTTCGGGTTCGGCGTTTGGGATTGAAATCAGCTGTGAGGAGCAACGACTTTCTTTCTTCAACTGTCTTTGAGTGCTATAGATTCTCAGCTGAGGGGATGTGTTTTACCTGCTGAGCCATATGTGAGTAATCCCCCTGAATCTAATCTGAACTACAGGTATCACATGAGGGCCTGAATGCATTCAGAAAATGTTTTGTACCAACATGTTTGGTTTTGATTTGCGACCATGTCCACTGTACACGGATTAGAAAACTAATTTGTCTACTACTAGTATTTATCATAATAGATCATATTCAATCAACAGCGTTAATTTCACTTTGATTGGGCCAAAAACTTTAATGAAAAGCACTTCACTTTACTACATTAAGTTTAAAGTTTAAGAGCTCCAATGTGCAGCTGTCACATTAGGAATAAGAAGAGTGCAACACAACCAGCTGGTCTCTCCTGCATCAGTGTTTCATACCCTAATAAATGTTTTTTCTTTATCTTTCTAAGTTTGTATAACGTATATTTTCTTAACTGGAATAAGGGGCAGGCAATTGGTGCAGTTTGTTAAAAATTAAAGACAGAAAATGGTGCATAAAATGCTTACCGGGTCCGATGAAGAAAACCTGGGAAGAAAGACGAGAATCACAGCATTGATACCCGTTACCGCTGCGTGGGAGTTTAGGTTTTGTTTAGCCAGCTTACACAAAGAAAGCCTGACTTTGTCAAACTTGCTTCATAGTACACTGCTTTGGATAAGTTTAACTCAACACTAACACTTGGAAGAGGGAAGCAGCTAGCCCATCCAGAGAACACAAAACCCATCCACTCGCCATTTAGCGCATTTGTAATACTTTAAACATGAAATTAAGACAATATTGTAATAAAGGAGCTTTAAAGATGCTCAGAGGCAAATTTCACTAGCTTCAGACAGAACCAAGCTTACGGTTTCCTGCTGGCTTCAGTCTTTAAGCTAAGCTAGCTAATCAGCGTTGGTTTTAATATCAGCAGATATTAATGTGTGACATAAATCTTCTCATTCAAATCCCTGCCAAGAGTTATATCTCTGAAAACTTCTACCTTGGCTTAACTTTGTTGCCACCATTTGCACAGATCAGTCCAAGCTGTTTGAAGGTGCAGATGAACGCCTTGTAATGACTGTGTTTCTTGGCGTATTTGCCAAATGTGCTGCTTCAAATCAGCTCTAAAGAAAGCAGATCGTAGCACACTATGTTCAAAAGACTAAGAAGAGTGTTCTGTCATTTGTTTAAAGCTGACTCAAAGACGCCCAAATGACAGCAACAGCCCCAAAGCTAAATCTTTGAACATTTAGAAACCCTCCAGCCGCCAGTTGGTTCGTCTTCCCTTGAACTTTAATGATTTACAGCTCTTTCCCGATCTCGTACCTCCTAATGTGGTGAAATCACACCATCACATGGGGCTAAATCACTCTGAAATGTCACGAGTATAGGAGCAGAAAAACAAAAAGTTTTCTAAAAATACAGCGGATATACCCGACACTGAACATTTATAGGAATATCCTTCGTAAACGTTCGACGTGGGAAAAGGAAACGGAGCGACAAACACACTCTGACCATCAAGCATCCAACAAAATGACCTGGATTAGCATTGAGGCGAGCATTAGCTGTGACCCCAGTGTAAGCCTGTGACCCGCGGACCTCTAATGTGTTCACTCATATTAATGCTGTAGCATATTGCAAAAGGTGAAAAAGAACGATTTGTGTGAAAAAAAAACAAGTCTCCAGCAGCCATATTGTAGCGTTAATTATTTTATTAATCACCTGAATGTACAGTCTGCAGACCTGTCCATGCAGCACTCTTCTAAATGCATACAACGTGTGTTTTGTGTAATATTTGCAGCAGTGAAACTAAAGTATTGTGGAGGTCTCTGAGTGACAGCCACAGGAGGGTTATACTGATAAGTGCTTATGTGACACAGCCGAGACTTTGGAGAGCTGTTTCAAGGTTGGATGTTGTTAGGAATTCTTCTCCAGAAAGGCTTTGCAGCATCGTACACACTGCTCATACACCTTTTCGAAATCTTCGCCGCTTCCCTAAAAGACAAAACAAAAAAAAAGTACAGGAGAAATTAAAACACTCACTCATACTGAAATTATTACTTACATTTGATGTCTGTGGCAAAGAAGGGGGGAAAAAAAAACACTTAAATGAATGTACTACACATTCCGAAATGTGGTTTGAAAGCACAAAGAAAACACTAAAATGATGGTCTCTGACTAAAGCGATTATGTTCTTCTCATGCCGAGTACCACATTGTCAAGTCTGATGTCAGTGAGTGCTGAAACCCACACTTAACAAATCTGGTAACACAGCTTTTCGTAAGGAAGCAATAAACCGCCAAATTCCAGTCTCGCTGGGTTTTTACCAAGACCTTAATGGATTACGATGGGAAAACCTTTAACACGGAATGTCTCAACATTAAATTTAGTGATATTAAAAGCACACAACTGTTCCTGTATACTCACTCACAAGTTCACTGAGGAGAACCGTACAGCGACTGAAACGACTACTTTGTTAGTGAATCTAATAGCTGTTGAGTATGAAATGCCACAACTTGAAATGTGGAGGTTAAAATAACAACATGATGCAGCATGTCCTCACATTAGAGATGTGGCTTCCAGGGATCTTTTGGAATTACTGCTTTAAAAAAATATCCCAGAAAACTAATTGATTAACAGGAAAGTAGTCGAACTATAAACTAAACGACTCGGTGAGGCTGTGTTTTGGCGCAGCGACGCTAAATAACAACAACGCTAACATGCTGACTTTTACCACGAGGTATGTCTAATAATAATAATATTGAATTTCCCTTCTGGGATAAATAAAGTATTTTTCATTTTTCATTTCATGTCCCCCGGGGTCGAGTCCAATTACAGGAATTTTTAACTAATCAGCATCAGCATAAATCTGTGCCTTATTCTTTGTTTACGTCTATTTTCACGTAGAAAACTAGAAAAAGCCAACTTTGATATAAAAACGCTGTCCTAGATTATCCCCGCTTCAGCGAACACTCTTTGCCTGTCCTGGGGACGGTAAGCCTCATGGAAGTCTTCATCACAGTGCTTCTTTACTTGCTAAACTCCCACAATGCTCTCTGTTTGCCCACAAACCTCCTGTTGCTACAGCAATAAACAGCGAGAGGCTCCACCTGGTGGTAAACCGAGTACTGCAGCTAATCTGGGAAAACAGCATCGGCACATACTGAATATTAAGCGTCTCAGATCGGATCGGATCAGAAGCCAATGATAAAAAAACAAACACTCATATCGTTAATTAGCACTAAACATAAAGTATGGCTGAAAGGAAGGCGATTTGTTGTCTCAGCACTTAACTAAACATTGCTGAAGGTTATTTATAGAGGCCATGAATGTCTGAACCTAACTCAGTGCCAATCCATCAGGTAGATGTCCAGACGTTTCGCTAAATAAGCAAACATTCTGACATCCAAGGACATAAGACTTTTACTCCATCTTTAATATATGCACAAGTTGAATGACAATTCATCTGATAGTTGTTTAACATGGTGAGTTTCCTGGAGCCGGGCTGAGAGCTGAAAACACACCTTGCAGTGGAATTAAAACAGGAAAAAAAAAAAAAGAGGTTTAGCGCCAGAATTAAGTGCCCGACTTTTATAAAGAAAGACGTTTTCAGGACTTTTAAAGCTTAACTTTAATGTCATTAAGTAATCAGTGTGTCGATACGGATGATAAAAGAAAATCCAAGCGATAAAATCAATGCTTCACCCAAGTTGCAAGCTCACCATTACATAACAGATGCATCCAAAGCATGTCTTCATTTATCCTGACACACTAACCGCGGTCGTCTGGCTCCTCTTTGCTCACTCTACAGTCATGCCATGTGGTCGCTGGCAAGGGAGCACACTTTAAAACTGAACTCCGTGATTCAGCTCCGGCAACAAAAGAACCTGTGCATAAAGACACCGTCGTCCTAATGGGCCCACAACGACAAAGTGGCGTCTGACGTAAACATGTGGAGAACCTCGTCCAGCCGACTACATTTATGTAATCCGTGGTCAGCCACACCACTAATAACTTGACGGTTTTATTTGGGATAACAGCTCTTAAAGATTTAATAACGCAAGTAGACAAGAACAAATACAAAGCGACCAGTCCAGCACAGCTCTGACCACATATGGAGATTATTTTTTATGAGATGTTTTACTATTTATTTAAACAAATTACGACAATGTAAAAGACTTGCTTGCCCCCAGCATGTCGGTACATTAAGAAAACAGTCGTACGCTGATGAGTGATCAGCAAAACTTTCAAGCCCTCTCGTTCTCCCAACACTTTTCCAACTCTTTCCTTTTTCATTCATGACCCTCAAGAAGATAAAAAGCAGTCCCGACCACCCCCCCGCCTCGTCCAAATCTTCTGGCAAGACCTTCAGCAGCACAGAAAGCTTGTAAAGAACAAAAGGAACGTGTGATCCACGGAGCATGAAAAGCCAAACTGATCCCAAACCAGAAAATATTTTCCTACAGTGATGTCCACCTCATTAAATAAGCGGTATGTCAGTGTAATGTACGGTGGCATGTACTGGTCTGGAAAGGCTGCTGGCTACTTTTTTTTTTTTTTAAAGTTTGCATCTGTGCCATTTCACTGCTCCAGCTCACTCTGCTTTTGTTTTGGTGTTGTTTATTACACAGAACGTGCCTGGACACGATGCCATTTCTCTGTGTGGAGCAGGAATTCTCTCCAGAACGACTACATGCACCTGTGGAATGACGCGATCTATCCGCGGTCAGATGGCAGCACTGCATCACAGTTCCTGTTGTGCATCTTGTCCATAAAACCCCATGAGCAGTTCTCAGCTCCAGTGTTGAGCAGCAACTACAGGAAGTGCTACGACTGACTGTGTGGTGTAGGGCTCTGTTTGATCCACGCACCATCTCACACGGTGAAGGTATTGCACTGTTGCTGCACGTGAATACATCCAGTAATACTCTGAGCGCCACAGAAAAACAAGTCAGGTTTTCAGAACTTTGGCATCGACTTGGCACCAAAGCATCAGCTCTCGTAACATTCTCACAACATCTTGTTAAATGTTGACAGCCATTAATCCTCGGAACCCCAAACCATCAGTGGTTTGTTTGTTTTTGTTTGCTTGTGTCACATTTTTACTCGTTGTGGGCTCGTTTCTCATTGAAATATGAAGTCCTGCACCTCGATGGAAAACAGCAGCGCCGTGGCCAGAGATAGTGAGAACTCTGTGCAGTTCACACAGTTAGAAGACCACAAAAGAAAAGAACTAAGGTTAAGTTTCTTTGATTATTTATTTTATTTTTAAAAAATCGATGTTATAGATGTTTTACTATTTACATTTTTAAATTTGTTTCCATATTTAATTCCTATTTTCTCGGTGTGAACTCGGCCTGCAGTTCGGGCAAGCTTAGCTAAAGTCCCCGAATTTTCTTCTTCTTCTTTTTAACAGAATCTGGTGAAAACAAACGCCTATTCTTGGTGAATTCTTCAGACAAATGAGAACAAACTGATTCTGATAAGATATCCCAATTATAATTCTTGATTTGGTTACACATTCCCAAGAATTGACACAGCTTACATAAGAAGTTCAAAGACGATTGCGAAACTGATGAGCCTACAAGACTTTCAGGTTTCACAGTCTGGCTTTGATGATTACTATAATCTTTTATTTTTAAAACATGCCCTTTAAACTCATCACCAGGTTTTGTAATTCAGAGGTTTAGCAGAAGGTTTGAAAACAACAATTTCCTGTTTTAAAAAAACAGTTTCAAGTTTAGCTCTGAATTTCCTGGAAACTATTCATCTTGGTTTCTCTCTAACAGCGATGCCTGTGTGTGCCCTTCTTAATGCCTGGAAGCAGACGGGATACGCTTGTAGAACGGTCACACCAACATCTGAATCAGAAATTGATGGCAATTGGGGAGTTATTTAACTGAGCTTGCTGGAGGTGAAAGGTGGAGTGCAAAACATTCCTGCGCTGATACACCAGTAGCAATGTTTTAAATTAACCTCCAATGATCAGTATGCCAGAGATGAGGAGGGGAGCACATGTAGCGACAGACACACACTTGGCTACACATCAGGTAACGACAACAACAACTCAGCAGCAAAACCCGGAAAGCGTTGACAGTACTCGTGTATAATTACAGTCACTGCCAGAGGGCAGCTTAAACTCTTAATATTGTAGCTCAAACCACAAGTAACGATAGGGTTGATTAGCATTTTATCACAATAAGATCCAGTACTAAATCCATTAGCCACTGGGGCGGCTGTGCTCTGATTGTGAGGTTGGCAGTTCGATCCCCTCCACAGTCGAAGTGTCCTTGGGCAAGACACTGAACCTGAAGTTACACCCGATGGCAGGCAGCACCTTGCATGGCAGCTCTGTCACCAGAGGGCCCACCACCCTCAGGGCAAAAGGTTGGGGTTGGGTGCTATGCCCACCGGGTGGTTGGCAGGAGCGGGCGTCCTGGCGTACCGCCCCCTGGTGGCGTAGACTAGCTCTGGGGACATGGAACGTCACCTCACTGAGCTGGTGTGGGAGGTGGAGTGTTACCGGCTAGATATAGTCGGGTTCACTTCCATGCACAGCAAGGGCTCCAAAACCAAACTCCTGGAAAGGGGTTGGACTCTCTCCTTTTCTGGAGTTGCCCACGGTGAGAGGCGCTGGGCGGGTGTGGGGATACTCACAAGCCCCCAGCTGAGCGCCGCCATGTTGGAGTTCTCCTGGAGAGCAAGAGGGTCGCCCCTCTGCGACTACGCATTGCAGAGGGGAAAACTCTGACTGTCGTTTGTGCTTATGCACCGAACAGCAGTTCAGAGTATTCAGCCTTCTTGGAGTCTCTGGGTGGTGTCCTGGAAGGGGTGCCGCCTGGGGACTCCATAGTTCTTCTTTTTGTTGTAAGTACACACCAGCAATTTTTGTAGTTCAGTGGTTATATGGTATGCATTTACTGGACTGGACATTTTAAAGTTTCTACCACTCAGTCGAGCTTTTTATACCACCAGGCATTCTTACTGTCCCACAGATATTATCTATGGCCTCTCAAAATGTGGATTGATGACGTTAGAGTCTCAGAAATGATTTGTGATGCTGAACATAAGTGTTTGTTGTATACTTACATAATACGGGTCTTTGATGATCAGCTGCTTCTGAGGGTCATATGAACCAAGAAGCTCAATCTTTGCGCTGTACGTTTTCACTAAGTTCGCTCTCCTGTTCAGCTCACTGTGAAGACCAGAGAAAACATGTAACTGAAGGAGACCAGAGAAGGAAACAAGGAAAACACTTGCAGGTCTTAGCATGTGACCTCTGAATCAGAAGTAGAAAGTCTTTAAATATAAATACAGGTCATGTTATACAGCAGTTTTACGTCTGCCATTTAGATATGAGGCGGATCATCTATTTTGTCATCCATGTGATTACCTTAGTCTTGATTCACTAACAAACAATTGTATAAGACTGATTATGACAACATTTTAAAAGCTGTTGAAGTCGATCTCAAACTAAAAGCAGCAAAACCGGAGGTCAAACAATTAATGAACTCTCTCATTCTGCTCAGCTCAACATTTGTAGAGGTTAAAAAAAAAAAAAACAATGTGGGGGAGAACGGAGGAAAAACCTGCCCAAAGAGCAAAGACGAGGCATCCAAAGAACTCAGTAAGCTGCTTACAGATCAGAACTGCCATAGGCATGTGATCTCAAAATGATCCCTAAACGTTCAAAGTAGCAAAAAATATCCCTCCCCCTGACCTTTGGTAAGAGCTTAAGGAAGGATATTGCTCATTAAAGAGAGGCATTCACCTAAAAGTTAGTTATAGCTCAATGTTACCACAATTTCCATGTGAAGGAGCAGCCCAGACTGCTGTCAAGACGTTAATAGGACAACCCAGCTCAACCCACTTTTCTTTTTTTTTTCTTGGATCCCATGCAGCCATTAATAAGTGAGACAGGACACTTAACACATGACACCGGTGTTTTCAGCGTCTGTGTGTCCACCTCCGATCCACACTGGCAGGGAAAATAAACTATGCAGCTCGGGGCTGAAATAACCGTACCTCAGGTTGCTCTCATCCATGCACAGAATGTACTCGAAGCTCGTGAAATCTTGGTTGGTCACCTGGAGTGGGGCAGAAATGCAGAACAAAATAAATATTACTTTTGGCTCAGGGTAGGTGCACAGTCTGGTCAGGAGAGCCTCCCTTTGGTCCTTCAAAGAAGGATGAATCTTAAAAAATCAATCACTGTCTTTCACATACACATTTGAAGTGAAAATGCCAAAGACGAGAGAATTACAAGAAATCACGGTTTGCAATTTCAGCAACAGCCTCCCTTTCTGTTGTTTATTACACATGTTGTTTAATTTACTTTTAGTTTAATTGCAGCCACAGATGCCATTGTCTCTGTGCTCGATTAAAAAGAAAACAACGCATGCAAATGATCAAAATTTACGGTTTCAGATTTTATTTTCCCTTCTGAACATCATATCAGAGCTGTTTTGACATCCTGCTAAAGCAAACACACAAACACTTCCTACAGCCGAGCAGTTACCTGCTTTTATTATGAGGCAAACGGTGAGATGCCTTTTGTGGTGAATCAGTCACGGGAAGCTCATTGTGTTTGTCATTAGAAATAGATCTGATCGCGATCGTTCATGTAAATGTCACCCACGAAACTAGAGAATAGTCGACTTTTTTTTAGTTTTTTCCATTTAAATTTTTGAAGGGAGGGGGATGAAGCTGCACTTACAGCTGTTTGATTTTTTTTTTAAAAAGCAACCGGCTGCACATTTAAACTACTTGTGCTTAAATGCAGTATAAAATCAAACTGTGCTTCCAATTATTGTTGGCTCAGGTATCACAGTCTTAACACAATAGCTATAGGAAACCTGGATTAAGAGAGAGATCCAAGCTGCACATCTGTAAGGATGTAGCAGAGCGTGCAGAGCGTTCAGTGTGTTTGGTGATGATTTAACGAGACAAGAAGCTATAAAAAAAAAAAATCAGGCAGCACCCTGGATAGTTTAGAAGTGTTCTGAGAGTCAATTTATGGGAATGCCAAGAAAAGCTAAAGGGAGTGAGAATCAGAAAAACCTTGTGCACGCCCTCCTCACAGGCCTGACAAACACCTTGGTTTGATTTCTGAAATATCTGGCTGACACTGAGCTGGGAGGTTTTCACTGCAAATGAGGAATGGGCAGGGAGACACACATAGCAAAGTTCAGATAAAAAGTTCAGATAAAATCAAGAAGATAAAACTCAAAAGGAAGTTATGACGAGATGGCAACGGAAAATTATACGAAAATACACCAGTGGGCCTATTTCACGGGATACGTTTTGACACGTCAAACACGGGAAAAGCACAGGTGTGCAGTAGAACAAGTCCTGGTATATGTCGGTGTTCAGCAAACATAGGAGGAAATAATGAACAAAATATAACATATTAAAGTTTAAAAGAGGGACAGACAAACATGAACATAAGCAAAAATGAAACAAACTATGCATAAACTAAAAATTTCTCTACGTATGAGTCGGTGATTTCTGTGTAGTCAGTCACAGCTACAAATAAAAAACATTTAAATCTTAAATAATTTATAAAATATTTAAATAATATTATCCGTCACAATGTTAATGAATGCTCATACCGACTTACTGTTGATATGATGAGCTATAAAACACTGGATAAATGTTCAGTGTTACGATAATAAAGGAGGAGCAGTGCGGTTGATATCAGGCGAGTTTGTTTTGGTATTTCTTTTAGTTATAGTGATGGTGGGAAAAACCAAGAACTCGGCTCGTAAAACTTATCTGTGCAGTATCAAAACTACAACAGTGACAGATGGAAATGAATGTAATGACAGATGGTATTTTGGCAGAGACTGATAGTCGTTCCTCAACTGTTGACTCAAGGATAACATATTGACAGCAAAGAAATGCAAACTTCAGCTCCCTCATGTCTGGTTTGCAAGTTCTGATGAGAGATAAACACTGCATGTTGCATGTTATGGATCACTTTGGAGCACGTCCGCTCCATTACACAACACACGTGTGTTTGTTTGAGAGTCCAGCGGTCTCCAGACGATGTCCCACTTGGCCAGTGTCTTGGATGCTGGCCGTACAAAAAGTCCAGCAAAGTGGGAGGGTGGGCGTAACATCCAGTGATAGAAACCAAAATGGTGATAAAGGAAAAGAGGAAAAAGCAAAAGCTTGTCAAAGCTCATTGTGTGGATTTGGCTGGGTTTAAGCCAAAAGGTTGAGCCTCCCCATCTCTGCTTTGAGGAGATTAGATGAGGGTCTGACGGAACGGGTTTGCGGTGAGACAAAGTAAGGAGAGGGCAGATCTCAAGCACGGGGTGAAACCCTGGACTTCTCTCAGGGAACGGAGTGTTTTAAGGGCACTGGGGAATAGGAGTTGCTCTGAAGATAAGCCAGTGCAGCATAAGACCTGAAGGCCCTACATGGACAAACATCTTGATGTAATTTCAGGCCCATTTCAGGATTTGAAACATGTGTGATATGATGGCTGCTACATCGACTTCATCAATATTTCATACACTACAGGCAAACCTGGCGAGCAGGTTCTCTGTAACTTTCACAGGCAATCAAACAGAGATTTGTTTTAAGTTAACAAGACTACTGTCTCAAAGTCCAGAAAGCCTGAGGATAATGTCTCTTTAAATTACGGATATTCTCAACAGGATTCATCAGTATGCGCTATGTATTTGCAAAGAGGTCCCTACGATGTTTAAATACATTGTAGGTACTAAAATATAAGTACTAATGTACATTAACCTGCTTGAATTGCACCATCCCCCTATATGAGTATCTCCACCCACAGCTTAAGACGTAACTTTGTGAAGATGCAATGTTCTTTATCCAAGCAAGTGCTGGACCCACTAGCATGTTGTTGACAAACAGCTAAACAATTGCTCTGCTGTTGTCTGCGCAGACCAGCACAAATCAGCTCCCGGCCTTAGAAGACAGAGGAGCTAAGTGTACGGTTTATTTTTAATGGCAACATTCCAGCTACGGTTGCAAAAAAACCCCAAAAAACAATAAAACCACACAGTTTTCCAAACTGGGTCATTCAGACATAAGACTGGTGATTGACCTCTTCCTAAAATAAATCTCAGTACAAACTGAGTGGAGCAAAAAACACTGCAATGAGGAAAAAGTGATGATTTTAAAAATTATTTCATTTTGTCTTTTTTTTTTGGCTTTTTAGCAAAGGCTAACAGCTGAGGTAATATTTAGATGTAATTTTACTGAAAGTTATTGGCGTTTGCTGATCTGTGAGATGAACTCCATCTCAGCTACACTGTTGATGTGAATGCCCCCCGTGGCCTGAGTTCTCATTTTGATATGGGGCTAGCATGTTATGCTAGGGGAAAATGTGCTTTGTGTCCATCTGTATTTTGGAAAACAGACGCGTTTCATGTGCGTACATAAGTGTTTGTTGCTGGAATGAATGGAAATGTCACCTCAGAGGAAACCAGCGGTGTGTAGCTGCAGCTGCAATCACTAACTCAGTTCAGATTCAGAGACACATCTCAACTGCTGTCCCCCTGCTTAAATGTAAACGCAGACTTCTAGATTGGAAAGCTCTGCGTGATGATCACGGACATGTAAATGCCTCTTATTTTAAAGAAGAGAAATACTGAACTAGACCATGAGCAGCTTGCACTGGCTCCAAACAAAACCACGTGTTGTGATGTGCTGAGATGAATTCCCTCGTAATTAGGGTCTCACCAGTGCAACGGACCCTGCTGTAACCCTTGGGTTTATTATTGTTATTTGACGCAATTTAGGAACTCAAATTCGAGGGTCTGAACACTCACGAAAGCTCAATAAAATTGCCACAGACACCAGGGCTGGGGAAAACTTGATATTTTTAAGGGACTTGGACATGTCACTGCCAAAATGGCTCCACAGCGCCACCTTAAAAATTTCAACAGAGTCCCATCAGAAGCACGTTTGGTCTAGAGATACAACATTTGGTAGGCATATAGAGCAGGTCAGGACGCACAAAAAAGTTGTCCAGCTCCAAGCTCTAAAATGCAACACGGCTCAACTGCGCCCCCTACAACATTATAACAGAGTCCCATCGGGGCTACGTTTGACTTTGAGCTAAAAAAACCGGTACACATATGTAGCAGGTCGGGACGCACAAAAAGTCCATCAGCGCGATTCTGTAAACCCAACAGGAAGTCCGCCATGTTGGAAAAACAACGAGCATTACAGGTCATTTTCAAAACCTATCTCCTCCTAGGGGGTACGTCTTACACACCTGAAATCTGGCCAGCACAAACTACAGGACGTGGTGATTAAAAGTTAATAAAACGCTCTGCAAAAGTCTGAGTGCTTGGAAATGAGAACTTTGGCCATTTTCAAAATCTCTCTCCTCCTACAGGGAAGATCGTACACACCTGAAATTTGGCCAGCACAAGCTACAGGAGGTTGTGTTAGTAAAATGCTGTGCAAAAGTCTGATGGCGTTGAAATGGCGACCAATGGAATTTGGCCAAAACGCCATAAAACGAGATGTGCTGTGTAACTGGCCTGTGTCTGCTCCGATCTGCCCGAAACTCGACACGCCGGATCAGGGTCCCGCCTGGAGGACGTTTCTACAGAATCCCGACGTGCACGAAGGCCGACAATCGTACAGCGAGGTCCTGTCCATCGCCGTTTGCATCTTTATTATAGTTACATCTGCATTCATGTACGCGGTCTTCTATTGAATATTTGCGGCATTTGCAAGAAAAAAAAAGAAGAAATTCAATAAATGTAACAGCTGTTGGCGTTTATGAAAACACCTCTGTGAAGTTGGCTGTGATGCGTCGTGTGATCTGCCAAACAGACGCATCGGAGAGAACTTCAGAAACACAGGTCTGCTGATCTACATTTGTTTTTATTGGGTGATGTCACTCATTGTGTTTCTGTAGTTATACTAAGCTGTGACTGCTTTTCATTTTGTAATTTAGCGTGACTGATGGGAAATGGAGTGTCTGTTTTAGGCATCAAAGTCCTGCAGAAAATGCTTTCTTGTAATGATGTTTTTACTGGCACCTCAGCTGTTACTTTTACAGCTTCATGAGCGACAGTGTGTGAGAGAGACCTCCATGTGGAAGCCACCAACACGGAGAAAGAGGCTCCCAAGACGAGCCTGGCTCTCCTGGAAACACGTGATGTGGTTCTGATCATCAAACTCAAATCCAGAAATTCCTGAGGGAGGCCAACTTCACACATTTGTAGAATGTGTGGCACATGGAAAGGGGTATTATATCCTGTGTTTATCTTCAAGGGTGAGAAAAGATCAGGCCAAGAAAAAACCCTGTTTGCATGTGAAGTCTAAGAGCCTGTGTTGGTCGATCAGTGCAATACGGTTGTTTATTGGAGGTTCTGTCTGTGTTTTCTATGATGATAATGGGAGAAGAGGTGATGATAGAATGGTGATTTCCCCATTTATACAATTAAAGCTGACTTTTAATTGAATTTATGTATTTTGCTAGAAACACAAAAACAAGACAAATACTACCCATGATATCTCAACAGAAGGAGAAGGTAAGAAAAGTGCTGTGGTATATAATCCTTTTGAAATTCATAATCAAAGATTGACACAGAAAAACTGTGAACTTGTGGAAAAGATGTATAACTGGTTCCCTTGAAAAGAAGAAATACTCAGTCACCTGCTTTTGGATTTCAGGTGAATTCTTTGTGTTCAATTTGCCAAAAACTTGTGCTTGTTTTTACACAGCAAACATGTTGAACTCGTTAATCCCCATAAAATAACGATTTAAGTGAACCTGCTCAAAACACAGTTACAGCGACATCATGTGTGTGACAGAGCAGCATCACAGCGGTACAGACACACATCTGGTGGAGCCACGGGACATGTGGTGGTACCTGCCGGGCCCTGTGGCTCGTCTCAATGCCATGCTTCCTGAGGCAGGCCAGACCGCGGGAGTCCGGTGAGCTGCCTATATTCCAGTCAGATGTGGCGCCACTGTCTATGATCCACTGCAACAACAGAGAACAAAAAAAAAGGGGTGCTAGCTACGACAGGTGTGGGAGGTGAGTGGTCGTACCTGCCTGGCCACATGACTCATGGGCACGTCATGCTTCTTCATGCAGGCTTGACCGCGGTGGTCTGGAGAGCTTCCTATCTCATAGTTGGAGGTGGCAGCACTGTCTATCCTCCACTAGGCAGAGCAGAGCACGGGGAACAGCAGCTTAGCAAAAAACTGATTCACATTCTCACATACAAAGAAGTCGTAGGTGGCTCATAGTAGACTCACAATAGTGGACTCTGGAGGGCCTCCACAGTGGAATTATTGGCAAATGTTACTCATGAATCTTCTTTACAGAAAGCAGCCAAGTTAAAATGATGTATTATTAGGCCGTGTAATGACAAGTTATTTCACTCCAGTCATTTCCTACCAGTCCAGTCATCTTATATCACTGTGTTGTATTTACCATTTATCAAGCAGAGTCATTTCAGAACGAATTTCGCTCAATAGATCATATCATCCGCCAGAAAGTCAATAACCAGGTGTTGTCACCTCATCACCATGAATAAGGCTTTTTAAATCTGCCACAAAAAATGTAATTTAACACGTAATCTTACAATTAATCAGTGGAAACCTTCTTTGAAAATGGTTCTTGGTCAATTATTATTATTAATATTATTAATATAGTATTCATGTAAAGTAGCCAAAGTTCTGATTCAAAAGGATTCTAAAATAAGTGCCATTTTGATTCTGCTTATTGGTTCCTAAATTAATTTCCCTCACGTTGGTTTCTAAACAGTATACCACAGATCTACGGCTGTCTGTCTGTCTGTGCTGTTGGTCATGTGAGCGTTTGTCAGAATAAACCACGACTCCTGCATTGTTCTGTTATCCTACTTGGCTGTTGCAGAGTTACTTGTTTTGCAGATACAGCAGCACAAGTGGCATGAATGTCTTTCGACACTCATCTGAACTTAGCAAATACTGCTACGAAATACTTCACAAGGATGGCACCTCGCTACCGTTATCGTGCAGCAGCTAAATAAAAATGGCGATGCAGGGAAACGTCTCTGGTGATTGTTCTGCTGTGATTCAGGTCATCAGTCATTAGTCTGCCCCATGAAGAACTGGAAGCAATAAGCAGAATCACTAAAAACCCCAACAGCATTTCAGCTAATATATAATAAATGTTCCTAATTTCATTAATGTATCAAGTTACATAAATAAAATAGCTTTAAAAATCTACGTATGTGACCTGTGCAACAACTAACTAACGATGACTTTACCTTGTCAGCAACGCCGGCATCTGTCGCCATCTTCCTGAAGACTGCTTCAGCGATTGGGGATCTGCAGATGTTCCCTGTTCAAAAACACCACAGGAAACGTCAGCGCGATGCTCCCAAATACATACGTGACTACTTTACTAATAGCTTTACAGAAAAAGCAACACTGGAGCTTTTTACCTAAAGTAAACACAGGTTCAATACAGCATGAACTATAGTTTATGTTAAATGCAAAGCAAAATAATGCAGCACATTTGTCAACGTAAACAGTAGGACAGAATGAACACGGTAGACAAGAGGTTTTATTTGTGCCACTGATGTGGGAAACTGTCTCAAATTCAGCAGAGTCTATGACAGGGAAAGTGAGACAAAAGAAAAAAAAAAGTGCCGTTGCAAGGCAGTTCATAGTTGTGAGTTTGGATTTGTGTAGAGAGGTGTAGAGATAATGAATGGATGGATGGATTTACATATGGGGCTGTAGGCGATAATATGATACACAGCTTGAAAGATCAGAAATGATTTTTCTCTGCCATTTCTACTCATCTAGCTACTCCAGGTGGCTCTTCAATATCTCTGGTTGTGCTGAGGACATTGCTCGCGACGGTGAAGAAAAAAAGACTGTTCTATCGTCAGTGGATTTACTGGGGAGCTGTATTAATTCAATAAGATATCCTAATTTCTAACATCCAGCTCACTGTTTTGATCAATAAACGGTTTCTAAGCTCAATTTCAAGGAAAATATGACATCTCAGTTAACAGTGATATCACATTATTAACTAAATCAACTGCCCCCCCCCCTCAGATTATAATCTCTAAGCATGAAACCAAAAATAATCTTTTTAACCAATTGTTTTATTTGGGGTAAAATTTACTCCATCTCAACCGACATTTTTGTGAAAAAGTCAAAAATAAGAGGAAAATGCTGTTTCGTAATGTAACACAGACGGGTTGCCTTTAGTGTTCTCGGACCGAGAATGGTTTCTGTCGTACGTAGTCACCGCCAAAAGGCCCATCCTGAACCAGTAAACACCCTGCTGAGGCTGATAATGTAATCCATATCGCCCAGCTCTGAATGCAACACACCATGTTTAGACCTTGTGGCTCAACACAACCTGACATCATTGATTAATCAAGTCTCTACCAGTGTTACATCTGGGAAATGATGGCAGGCTTTGATAAACACTGCTTCATTAAAATTGACTGCAATCTTTAAACTAGGCCAGCTGTGGCGGCGCCTCTGAGGGGAGACCTGGGAGGGCCATGGCCACCAGTGACAGCTAACTAGCCACCCCCCTCTTTCTGATAAGTCAACTTCAATGTCCTACGGTGTCTGAGCGTTGTGAAAGCAGCACTAGTTGACATAACAGCTAATCGTAGCAGCATCCAGTGGGCTGGGCAGCGTGTCCATAGTCCGCCTTTAGTTGACGGACACATAGATGTGAAAGTGTTAGCAGGAGCTGAAGTTTATTTTGTTTCAAGCTGTTTGAAGGAGTCTTTCCTCTGAGTTTATGAAATACCTGCAGCATCAGGAGTGTCTCCAAAGATTAACATACAAGACAGCATTAACCTCACTCATCACCTAAATAAACAAATCTAATTACTACAATTACCCCCAACATGGAGACAGCTACTCGTCGTCCCTTATTTTCTGTGTTTATTGGAGCCAATAAGAAATGGTTACTTGCTCTGAGGCACTCGTTTGCTGAGTTTTCACTTGCCCTCTTTTGGAAGTCACCTTTGTTAGTCCCATGGGTGCTGCTATTGTGTCTTTAGGTCTGGCTAAGGAGTTTAGTTGTGTTTTGTTTTTCTTAGAAAGCTTTCCAGCTCTGTTAGCCCTTTCTTGGTTTTAATTGGTTAATTGGTTTATTTGTGTCATTAAGCAATACATTGATTTACTAAATCCAAGAGCAGCTGGTTGCTGTTACCCAACGAGCTAAACCTAGACAGCTGGGCTGTAACGCTGCACAACTGGTACATCATGACACCAGCTGTTTGTGGTTCCAGTCACTGGTCACCCGCTGGCAGTGCTGCAGTTTGAGCCAATGGTGGCAGTCGCATATTCAGACTTGGATCAGTGTAAAAGTTTCCAAAGACTCGAGATTCTGAAGTGGGACAACCTCAAATGATCACGTGCGACGATCCAGGGAAAAGGAGCTCTACACCCATTTACTTCCTCTCTCTGTGTTTACGCATGCTGCACTTGAATACAGAATTCCTAATAAAACTGCTCTCGTTTACATATTTCAGTTTTTTTTTGACAGACAACAAGTATGAAATAGTGACTGAAACGTGTCTCATTCAGGTGACACATGAACCAGCAGTCACCTGCAGGCTGCTGCTCTGCACCACTGAAATCCTGCTTTTATAACCACAGCGTCATCCACCACACGTATAAGTCAAACATAGCTTCTAATCTGTGAATGTGGCTGCGTTTTCACAATAGTCAAAGCTATTGCTAAAGCAGAGAACATTTACACAGCAAGGGGAAACACTGACAAAGCTCTGCTTGTAAAAGATCCACTGGATCCATGCTGCACTTTGTTTAATATGCAGACCTAATGCTTTCTCGTCGTTCATGGGTTTATTAGAAACATACATTTCTTTTGGTGTTGCACTACAGACTTAATAATAATCCATGATTTTTTGTTTAATTTTGTCCTGTTAGGAGTTGGGCTGCAGGTGGCTCGGTGGTTAGCCCCGTCTCCGGGTTCCTCCCACAGTCCAGAAACATATTGAGGTTAATTGGTGATTCTAAATTGTCCGTAGGTGTGAATGTGAGTGTGCTTGGTTGTCTGTCTCTAAGTGTAGCCCTGTGACAGACTGGTTACCTGTCCAGGTGAACCTGCCTTCACCCTGAGTCAGCTGGGATAGACTCCAGCCCCCCATGACCCTAGTGAGGATGTTAGGAGTTTCCTCTGTAACTCTGTTTTGCACTTTAATGTGTAAACCTTTATTTATATTTCATACTGTGCTGCATTATACAGTGACAGTTTGTCAACATAAAATTAAGTTTAAATGAAAAGGTCACTGGGCTTTTTTGGAGGAAAACTGCTCATGTACACTAACTGACTAAGTTGTTGACACAGGTGATGACCTCATAGACGGATAAGCAGCTGTGTCTGGCAGCCATACTTGTGACACTGATGTGCCACCCGACTGAATATTTGTGGAGGCCCCACTTGTCAACTGCATTGCCTTGTGCTGTCAGTTACAGATGCATGGAGAGTGTTCTTCCTAAACGAGGTGTTGTGAACTCTGTTCAGCAGCTCACCTGAAACACACGCTTTAGAACAGGGCTGAAACTAGAGGCTACACAATCATTTCCAAATAAACCATCTTTTAAAACTTTACTCAGCTGTGGCTAAAAGAATCATCTCTGCAATATTTTGAGCTCAAAATCTGAACTCCACATTCTGGGGAGATGTTACTAATTTACTGAAAAGGTGCCCAACGTGAGCCCTGTAACATGACAGTGTAGATACGTAGCAGCAGCTTCCTCTCTGGACTTCGACCTGTCTGTCTCATTGCATTTCCGGTGTCCTGTCAACTCATCTCTGAAATGAATCAAGTCAACATTACTCAGCGTTTTTGCATTATGATTCATACTTTAATTACAACTGGCCAGACACCAACTGCACATAAATGCGCATTAGCATCAAACTGAACTGACTTTAGTGAAGAAGTCTGTGAGGAAGTTGACAGCACAGTAGCACTGATTGAATGAGCGGCTAGCAGAGCTAGCAGTCCGGCTAATGCTCTCTGGAAACCCAACGGCTAAGAAGAGCTGTCATGTAATGTTGTGCATGTTATGAACGCTCACAGCTGTCTGTATGAGCTTCTGCGGTTTAAAAAACGTCTCTTACCCAAACAGACGAACAAGACCGACTTCGAAGCAGGCGCCGCCATGTTGTTGTGTGGGGTCCTAAATGACGCCGCCGGAGCTTCCCAAATTATGCCTGAACAAAACTCGTGTGTAATACATCTGTTTGTTTTTTTTGTTTGTTTGTTTTCTTTTCTTTTACAGTACTGTGAAACTAAACTTACTTTATAGAATATTTATATATTTTGTTGTAGGTATTGTGTGTCAAGTTTAATGGATTTTAACTGTGGCTATTTACACCATTAAAATGATCAATACAAGTTACTGCAACCGTTCTAATAATCAAATTACATGTATGTAATTGGGGAGACGGACGTACAATCAAATACATTTTGGTTTTTGCGAAATAATTTTTAAAACAATACTAAGTCAATCATGTTTTTATACAAACAACATCACACCTGTGTTTCAGATGAACGCTCTCAGACTGACTGTTCTTGTACAAGTCCTTCCTGTTACAGCGTACTTCATCGTCATTGTAACTTGGAGATGGTTAGTTGTAGCACTTGTTAGAAAAGCCTCTTTCAATGCAATTATTCCAACATAGTTCACATGTATTATGAATATCAGCAATGTTGACATCTTCTCTGAACAGAACGATTTGCACATTTATTGCTTTCTTGAATGTAACGTCTGAGCTATTGGATACCTCGTCTTTCCCCAAGGGGATGAATAAAGTATCTATCTATCTATCTATCTATCTATCTATCTATCTATCTATCTATCTATCTATCTATCTATCTATCTATCTCATCTTTAAAGTATTGAGTATAAATAGCAGCTACGAGGAGAAAATAATCCTTTATCACCTCATAAATGTAGTATTACTTAGAGGCATAATCTGTTTACAGCTGAGTCATTAGCAGGTGTGTATCTGCTTTGATTAACTAAATCCACACTTTTTATGACCTCAGAGAATAACGCTAGTAAATCTGAGCGTTTCAGACGATAAGACCACCCGTACAAAGACACAATGTTCCCCGGACTCCAATTTGCAGGTCAAGGGAGAAAATCCAGGACCTAGACAGCATTAGACATTTATAATGACCAATTACATGGTATTGTACTGCATTCTTTCTCTACTGTGACTTGAGCTTTTTCCTCACATTTATGTAAATATGGAGTTGCAAAATGAAAATGAGACTCAGGGATTCCTATAACACTCCCACACAGAGTCAAGACAGACATTACCAGTCTGCTATTACCCCCCTGCACTGTATACTTCTCTCACTTTGCAGGACGGGTCACTCTGGCGTCCAGACTTTAAGGCTGATTGCGTCAGCGTTTAAAGGAGCTGGGATTTCCTGCATGAACTAGCCAACTACCCTATAGCTCGCAAGCAGAATGGATATAGTGTGAAGAGGTCAAAACTCCACCAACGTGTAATATAAACGTTGGTTTTATTACGAGACCAAAACACGATTAAAAACGACAAGATGAAAATGTTGGTCTTACGAGAAAGCATCCATGACAGCTTAGAGCGATACATGCACACACCGGGTGAAAGTTTTAACTCATGGCAAAAATGTCTTTTTTAATTATATGTTTGACAAAAAAACCTCAAAGGAAATCTGTTAGAAATTACACTAAACGTATCTGTCCGGGAGATGTTGCAAACTCAACGTACACCCATTAAAGAAGCTTTGATTAAACCAAATGTCCTCGTAGGGCACAACTTAATTAACAACTTAATCTATACAGAGGGATTTTCTTAATTAGATGGGGGCTTTTAGGTTTTTATAATGGAAACTGGAAAAAGGCCAAAGAATAATGTGGAACTTTAGTGCCATTACCTTTAAAGTGAATTGTGAGTAATAATAAACCCTTGAATTAGACCGAAAGCCAAGATAAAGACATAATGGGAAGAGCTTTGTGAGATCAGTAATGGCCAAAAACAAAAGCTTATCCTTACATCTGGCCCTAAAACCCTTGACAAAAGCTTTCACTACTGGTAGAAAGATTGAAGGGCAACTCTTAAGAAGCACACACCAAAGGAAAACATTTCACTTTAACTTTGATGCTCTATGATGTGAAATTAAACAGTGTCACGACTGCATAAGCAGCTGTACCAGCTTTTTAGTCGTTCTTGTTGCTTCCTGTAAATAATTAAGTCACTCTCCCTTGTGTATTAAGCCCGAGCCCTCAGCTTATTCAGTGATGATGACTATTGTTTATTAAAGCTAATGAGGAATAGATGACAGGCAGTCTGGAGGGGACACGTCAGTTGTGAAAAGATGCAGGAAGTGGTCAAAGGGATACAGATGAGAAGGTGATAAAGCATGTACTGTTCTGCATCACGAAGGCTCTCTGAGGGCAGGAAAAATAAAACTATCTCTCTGTGTGAGTCTGTTTTTGCGTTGCTTTTTTATGATCTTCACTCTTTCATTGACAGAGGTTTATGCCTGGGATGAACTTCTAAGGAATATCTGAGGATGTTTGTTTCAGTAAAACTTCTTGCATGGGTGGAAAAGAGAGTAAAATGTGAGAGTAAAACATCTGCCAATGAGACACAGATGCAAAATAAGTAACTGTATCCAGCTCTGGCTTTATCCTGCACTCTCCTCTTCCAATTTTGTCCATGCATGTGAATGAAAATGAGTAAACTCGTTCTTCTTGGTTTGAACTTGTAAAACAAAAGTCTCCCTGATCAGTAGTGCTACCAACTAGACGAAATAATTGAATCCAGTCAAAAAGCCAGACAAGAAATGACGTGGGAGGCGTTGAATATCTGTTTGATTTTTCACAGGTGTGCCTCCAACATCATCATTAGGGCGATTTTCTACCATGTCTTGGATAAATGTGTCATTCATTTACCTACAGATGCAAACAAAACCTTAAGTACCCTTTAAAAGACCATGTATACCATGGTAATCCTGAGTTTCCCGGTACTCCTATGACTCATACTTTCATAAAATGGAATGATTTAAACACGTGTCACAAAAAACAATCGAGCATTTCCGTTAAAAAAGTACAAATACAGCAATTCTAATATTTGGTTAAATGTCCTTTGTCCATTTTCATCTCACTTAGGCGCTTTTGGTTTCTGTCCACATGCTTCTGGTTGTATCTTTGGCCACTCCTCTTGACAGAATTAGTACAGTTCAGCTACATTTGTTGGCTTTTTGACACTGACCTGTTTCTTCAGCACAGTACACACATTTTTATAATTTTTTTTTTTACCATTTTAAATGTGTGTTTGGGGCCATTATCTTATTGGACTACCAATTGCATCCAATAACCAACCTTCTGGTTGATGATTTTAGGTTTTCCTCAAAAACATGGTAATCATCCGTCTTCATTGTTCCATTTTTTTTGTGTGTAAAGCAGCAGTTCCACTGGCACCAAAACAGCCCCACTGCATAATACTACCACCACCATGCTTGATGGTAGGTTTGGTGTTCTTGAAGTTAAAGGCCTCACCTTCTCTCCTCTCAACATATTTCTGGGCACTGTGACCAACTGACTTTTGACTGAGCCACAGAACTTATCTCCAAAAGGGCACATCTGAGTGTCGTGGACCAAGCAGTCAAAGCACAAAAACACAGCTTTAAAGTTTACTAAAGAGACATTTATTTTTTCCAACAAAAAATTAATTTTACAAAAAAAACAAAACAACTGAAAGTACTGAACTCCGAGTTGTATGGCCTTTTAAAAGAGGTCAACAAAATATAACTCTACTGAAAAATACAGCTAACAAAACTGGACATTAACTCAACCAAGAGAACTGGGAGACT